CTGTCTCCTAAAGATGGCGGAGTGGTGGACTCCGTACCCACAATCCTTTGCGGGGTTGTAGTTCTGTCTCCTAAAGATGGCGGAGTGGTGGACTCTGTACCCAGAATCCATTGCGGGGTTGTAGTTCTGCCTCCTAAAGATGGCGGCGGTTCAGCCTCCATACCCACAATGCACCGCGGGGTTGTAGTTCTGTCTCCTGAAGATGGCGGAGTTATGCACTCCGTACCCACAATGCACCGCGGGGTTGTAGTTCTGTCTCCTAAAGATGGCGGAGTTATGCACTCCGTACCCACAATGCACCGCGGGGTTGTAGTTCTGTCTCCTGAAGATGGCGGAGTTATGGACTCCGTACCCACAATCCATTGCGAGACTCAATGGAAAGTGCCACCTCGAAGATGGCGGAGTTGTTGACTCGTTACCCAGAATGCACCGCGGGGTTGTAGTTCTGCCTCCTGAAGATGGCGGCGGTTCAGCCTCCATACCCACAATCCATTGCGGGGTTGTAGTTCCGCCTTCCTAAGATGGCGGCGGATTTGCGACTCGTTACCCACAATGCGTTACGGGATTGTAGTTCCGCCTCCTTAAAGATGGCGGCGGAATTATGGACTCGTTACCCACAATCCACTGCGGGATTGTAGTTCTGTCTCCTAAAGATGGCGGAATTATGGACTTCCTACCCAGAATCCATTGCGGGATTGTAGTTCCGCCCATTTAAAATGGCGGAGTTGTTGCCTCTTTACCCACAACGCATTGCAGGATTGCAGTCCCGCCCCTGTAAAATGGCGGAATTCTGGACTCGTTACCCACAATCCACTGCGGGATTGTAGTTCTGTCTCCTAAAGATGGCGGAATTATGGACTCGTTACCCACAATCCACTGCGGGATTGTAGTTCTGTCTCCTAAAGATGGCGGAACTATTGCCTCGTTACCCAGAATCCATTGCGGGATTGTAGTCCCGCCCCTGTAAAATGGCGGAATTATGGTCTCTGTACCCACAATCCACTGCGGGATTGTAGTTCCGCCTCCTAAAGATGGCGGCGGAATTATGGACTCGTTACCCAGAATGCATTGAGGGATTGTAGTGCCATCCTCTTAAGATGGCGGCGGTTTTGCGCCTCACTTACCCGCAATCCTTTGCTCCGCTTCCGCCTCGTTACCCACAATGCATCGCTCCGCCCCCCCATTCCCGCCTCGCTTTCCCATCGCGCCCCGCGCCGCGCCGGAAGTGACGCGGCGGCCCGGACCGGAAATGGAGCCGCCCACGGCGGAGGCGCTGCGGGAGCTGCTGCGGGAGCGGCTCCGGGCCGAGCACGTGGTGCTGCTTTAATTAACGAATTAACCGCTAATTAGNCTCCGCTTCCGCCTCGTTACCCACAATGCATCGCTCCGCCCCCCCATTCCCGCCTCGCTTTCCCATCGCGCCCCGCGCCGCGCCGGAAGTGACGCGGCGGCCCGGACCGGAAATGGAGCCGCCCACGGCGGAGGCGCTGCGGGAGCTGCTGCGGGAGCGGCTCCGGGCCGAGCACGTGGTGCTGCTTTAATTAACGAATTAACCGCTAATTAGCGACCCCCGCCGGGCCGTTGGGGTGTAATTAGCCGGGCGGGCGGTTAATGAGCGGTTGGGGGGCGTTAATTGGGGCGGGGGAGGGGTTAATTAGCGTCAATTAGCCTTAATTAGCCTTAATTCGCGTTAATTGAGATAAAAATTCGTTTTGTGAGGGGTTAATTAGCGTTAATTTGGGTTAATTAAGGTGCTAATTAGGCGGGGGAGGGGTTAATTAGCGCTAATTAGTTTTGGGAGGGGTTAATTAGGGTTAATTAAATTACTAATTATTTGTATATTTCCTTATGAGCATCATCTATTATTAATTAGCTTGTAGTGCCAATAAGTGGTTAATGAGTCTTAATTATTGCTAATTATTGCTGAATTAATGTTAATTAGCCGTTAATGACCTCTAATTAGCATTTAATAGGTGCTAATTATCCTCCTATTAATCACTTATTTTTGTAATAATTAATTATTACAATTATTAGAACCATAGTAATAATTAATTATCAATTATATTGTCAAAATAAGTGGTTAATTAGCCTTAATTATCGCTAATTAGTGCTGAATCGACGTTAATTAGCTGTTAATAACCTCTAATTACCATTCATTTGGTGTCAATTAGCATTCAATAGATGCTAATTAACTTTTAATTAGTCACTTGTGTTTTTACTCATTAATTAATCATTACAATTATTAGAATTATAGTTGTTAATAATAACTATTTATTAGATAGTTGTCAAAGTAAGCAGTTAATGAGCCTTAATTATTGATAATTAGTGCTGATTTGACATTAATTACCTGTTAATAACCACTAATTACCATTTAAAGGCTGTCAAGAAGCATTTAATAGCCGCTAATTATCTTCTTATTAATTAATTTTATATTTACTCATAAGCATTACATAGCATCAATTAGCTTGTCCTTTCAGTGAGTCTTTAATTAGCATTAATTAGCGCTGAATTGACATTAATTAACCCTTAATAACCCCTAATTACCCTTTTAATGAGTGCTAATTGCTGCTCGCGCCCTTAATTACCATAAACCCCGCCCCAATTCCCCCTCATCTGCATGCCCGGGGGGCCGGCCGGCGTTAATTAGCGCTAATTAGTGCTAATTAGCGCTAATTGCAGGAGGTGCAGGACTCGCCCCAGCTCTGCCCCGGCAGCTTCCGCGTCTTCGTCGTTTCCGGAATTTTCCGCGGCCTCAAAACGCTCCAGAGGCACCGGTGGGGGCGGGGCCTAATTAGGGTTAATTAGGG